GAGCAGGGAGCCCAATGCGGGACTCGATCCCAGGACTCCAGGATCATGACCTGAGCCGAAGGCAGTCACTTAACCAACTGAGCCACCCAGGCGCCCTGGAATTGTCCTTTTAAAATTTATTTTATGTTCTAAGTTGACTTGGCTTCCATAACAATACCCCCAATGAATCTGATCTCACTGGTTAAATGGAACATATTTTTTTAAAAGCAATTTTCAAGAAGCAGTTTAAAATGTCTGGTATTGTTACTTTATGAAGTGTTTATTCTCTAACAATAGAGCAAATAACAAATACATCTCCTCAGCCCGCACCTTTCTTTGTGGTACTTTTTCTTTCATTTAATCTCTTGTTTAAATTTCTCTCACATAAAAACTTTTCTGACCTTCTTCCATTAACCTCTCCTTCATACCATTCATCATCTGTGTTACTTTTCTCTGGATACATTTAATTTCTTGGAAGGAATTTTCATGACAGAAATGGGGCAGAAGAGAAAAACTGGCCAAGTTTACAGACTTTGTGAGATTAAGGAGATGGTGATGGTTCTCAGTACTCAAAGGTAACTGATTGGAACCTGCATTCATATTTCAAGAGATAAACTCTAGAAAAAAACCTTTAAATTCTGCTAGGAAACATGGGTTCAGTCTCTTGTGCTGAATTAACATGTGGGGACAAAGTCTCTAAATAAGGAATAAGGACTTGATTTTAATTTATATTTCATTCTGATAATAGTTTCTGTGTGATCCATCAATATTTTTTTTTAAATTCAGACAAGATTCATAATCTGTTTTTTTAAACTCCACTGGGCATAAAGTAGATAGATTTCCTGGGATACTTATGACAAAAGCTGTTCTTGTTTGAAGGTGCTTACAGGAGAGAATTAAATAATCTTTCTTGTATCAATTTTTCATTCACTCTGAATAACTGTTCTCCACAGTGCTGGCTTGATGAGTTCGAGTATGTTTGCTATCAGGAGCCAATTGTTCACCTTGAACTTTATCTTTCAGCTTTAAAAACAAACAAACAAAAAAAACTAACACTATCCAAGCACCAGCATGAATCTCCAAGGAAGCAGAGATTGGAAGAACTGGAACCTCAAGTCCTCGGCCCCCCCATTCAGGACCCTTTAAGAAGCAGTGCGGGGCTCTCCACATTGACCCATGAGAACCCTTCCCACACTTCAGAAGCTCCACAGCTGTGGAAGGCCAGTATCCCCTGGGACTCTGGTTTTCTGGTTCCCAGCAGGGAAACTGAGAAGTTGTTTCACCGTGTGTGTGTGTGTGTGTGTGTGTGTGTGTGTGTTGGGGGAGATGTCTCTTCCATTATAGGGCAAAGCTCCAGCAGGTTCATTCTTTCTCACCCAAATGCAACTGAAGAATACTGTGAATTGTCCTGCTGTGACTCGAGAGAACCAAATATTCCTGGAATTGTTATTACCAGTACTGTTTCTTTTCCATTCTTCCCCCAAAGGTGTCCTTGGATTATATCTTTTGAGCAAATGAGTAAACACCTTTAGTCAAAATGAAATGAATAGTATTACGTGAATCCCACCCTATGGGGAGGTTTTAGTGCCTGCCCTAGGACTCGGTTCTCATTGTGCCCTGTTCCACAGTCTCCTCTAGGACCTGGATGAATACACTGAAGTACTGTTGAATTTATTGACTACACAAAGCTGAGAAAAAGAGAGAATCTACTGGATGTCTGGATGTCTGGATGTCAATGTCAGCATTTAAAATTATTTTAACCAAATAGATTAAGGATGTAAAAAATCAGTAAGATGAAATTTAGCAAGAAGGAAAGCTCTGGATTTAGGTTCAAAGCATCAATTTATAAGAAAAGGATGAGGAATACATGGCTTGAATGTGGGAGGTAATGTGCTGGCATGTAAAGTCTTGATGAGCCATATGGTGCCTTGTGGTGTCCAGTCTTGAGTACTCCAGACAGGGAAATCATATTTTGTTTTTTTTTTCTTTTAAAAAATTATTATTTCTGTCTAAGCTATATGTACTTTCTTAAAAAGTAAAATAGTTCTGCAAATTTGAGAAGCTTGACTCCTCTCCTCATTTCCATCTCCAAGGGGCTCCACATTAATTTTGATGATCATTTGGTATCTATTCCATGTCTTTAAATTACATACCTACATTGCTTCTTTTGGTTTCTCAGACTGGGGTATTATCTTTTGACTCTCTACTTTCACTTGCTTAGACTTCTGAGTACTGAGCATTTTTTACCCACCATCTCAATCGCCTCTCAAGACATCCAGCTCCACAAAACATTCATTTCATTGGCTTTATCTTCCGACTTGCTCTCACTGCCCTAACTTGGATCCACAGCTGTCATCTCAGGCCCTCTTTTTCCTGTCATCCTGGGGACACCATTCGCTCCTCTTTTTGTTTGTTATCTCCTGTTTGATGTATCCTGGTTCTTCCCCTTTTCAGTTTTCTCCCTCACTTTATTTTTTTTCTTGTTTCTATTTTTTTTAATTTTATTTTATTATGTTATGTTAGTCACCATATATTACATCATTAGTTTTTGATATAGTGACAATCCTCCAGTACTTTTCTGAAAAGTATACATTTATGGGAAGTATATTTTGAAACTTTGCATCTTTGAAAATGACTTTGTTCTATTCCCACATTTCAGTAATAGTTTATCTGGGTGTAGAATTCAACACTGGAGATAATTTTCCTTCGAATTTTTTAAAAGATTTTATTTTTAAGTAATCCTTACCTCCAACATGGGACTTGAACTCACAACCTCAAGATCAAGAGTCACATGCTCTACTGACTGAGCCAGCCAGGTGCCCCCCTTCAGAGTTTTGAAGAGATTGCTCCATTGCCTGCTGGCTTCCAGTACTGCTGTGGTAAAACTCAAAGCCATTGTCAGTGTTAATCCTATGCATAGTGAACTGACTTTTTCCTCCTCTCCACACTTCTAGGATCTTCTCTTTGCTTTTAATGTTTTGGGAAGTGTTCTCAAACTGTTTACTTGATTATTTTCTCCCCTTTCTTTTCTCTTCTTTGTGTGCCAAATACTTGGATATTGTACTTCCTGGACTGATCCTATGGTTTTCTTATCTTGTCTCTTTTATTCCATATTTTTTTGTCTTTTTGTTCCATTTTGGGAGAATATTATCTTCTAACCATTTTATTGAGTTAAAAAATGTTTGTCACAATTTTAAATTCCAAGAACTTTTTATTCCCCAAATTTTCCTCTGTAACAGCACCTTCTTGTTTAATGGATTTTATCTTGTCTCTGAAAAGATGAGAATGACACTGGATTGCTCTTTCCTGCCTAAAAGGAGAAAGTATGGGGTCAGTGATCTAGCTGGTAGTGTTGCCAATTCTGGGGCCCATGGAGGGGGCATGGGGTTCTTCCTTGCTAAATAGTTTTTTGGCTCTCAGCTTTTCCCATGGCTGACCTAAAGATTTAGTTTTGGGGGGTCTCCTAAGTAACTTACCATGTGTTTATCTGCTTTCCAAATTCCACATTTTGCTGCTGCTGTTTCCATCCACCTTATCCTTGTGGGGTTGTGCCTTCAGAGGGGAAAAAAATCCCCTCTGTGTTGTTCAGACGAATTTTATTTAGGTGGGAATGAAAGTAGAGCCATGTGCTCAACCTATCCTGTTTCCCGGAAGGGTGGAAAGTCTATTTGGAGTCATGAAGGGTTTGCCTTCTAATATTTAGAAATAATCTACATTTTGGGGGGCTGCCTTGAGATAGAAGCTCCCTTTTTCTGGAGGGGCCATGCCAATTTGGAATGTCTACCTCTCAGGAATGTGGTTGAGAGCCTTCTTTTTCCACTGACTTGGTCACAAATTAAATATGGTGCCTACCTGAGACCTCACTCAGAATCCTTCACATTTATTATTTAAACCTCTGACTACATTACAGTTACTCCCAGCTTGGAATAATGGTCAAATGTTCAAATCTGAGAAAATGTGCTATTGTTTCGTTTCATTTTTCATACAGCCTACAATGTACTTTTGTGGAGGGATGGCCTTGGTGAAGAAGTGACACTTGGAGAGAGAGTTTGCTCCTTCTGGTTCTGTCCTCCGGAGATTACAGGGGGTGAGAAATATGTCTCTAGCCACCGTCAGGGAATTGTTTCCTCTGCCTTCCTGAAGCAATAAGTAGAGAAGGAATCCGCTTCCAGTCTGACCCTTACAATCAACATGATACAGTGTTTCTCAAGATAAGAAGACCCTGAAGCCCTAACTGGGCAATGACAACACTAGAAAAACAGATGAACTAAGAGATGCTTATGTGTTGCAAAAAGACTCCTCCTGTTCTAAAAGGGTTCTCCTCAGTATTTTGCCAAACAGAAATCAATCCCTTTCAGCTGATAGGGAAAGCCAAATATCAAGAAACATAAAGTTACAGTGTGAACTAATTGAATAGCATGCCAAGAAAATAAAGCATGACTGAAATTATATTTGGTCAATGGACAAATAAGAGGCCATTTATCAAAATTCCTCTTATATCCAACTTCCCAGCAACACAGCTGTCACGTGCAGTTGATGAGTATATATGCTTACAAGTAGTTACCTGAGCACACTCCTTCAGCCATCTCTTCAACAATGAAGAAGTTAATGTCTTATAATTAGTTTTTATGCATTTTCTAATGCTTAACTAATTTTAAACTAAAAATAAAATCCCTTGAATTCAAGATCTGATGAAGAGCCAGCAACCATCCATCCATGCATCCATCATCCATGCATCTATCCATCCATCCATTTAATTCTACTAAGGACTCAGAAATAAATTATTACCCTCTAGGAGTTCCCAGTTTAGTGAAAGAGACAGATTGTGGATAGAATATTTTGTCTCAGAGCTATAATCCCAATCATTGAAGTATGCACGGACTGCTTTGGGATGCATGGTATGGAGACAAGAGAAAGGCTTCCTTGTGGAAAAGAGGCTTGGTGAAGGCCCAGAAGGGCACTGTGGCTGAGGCAGAGGAAGCCATCTGCACAGACTCGTGGGACCATGAGAGGAGAGAAGAGGATGCTTATTAAAAGCCCACCTGCTTTAGAACATGGGGGCCTTTGGGAGTGTGAAAATACCAGAAAGAGATGAATCTGAATAAATAAGCAGGGCCCAAATCCTGAAGTGTTTTGTGGGCTACACTAACACACTCAGATTCTATCTGTAGGCTAAGGGAAGTCACTGAAGGATTTTCTGCAGAACAGAGACGTTACCATCTCTCACGGTCTCCTCTGCTTCCCCCTGGTCTGAGTCACCACCAACAGCAGAGCGATCATTCAGCATAGAAGTCAGAGCCTGTCCCCCACTGCTTAAAACCCTGCCATGGCTCCATCCTGCTAGAAGACCTCAAGTAACTTCCCTTAATTCTGACCTCATACCTTCCACTCCCTGCACCTACTCTGTTCCAGCCACACAGGCACGCTTGCTGTGCCACCTTAGAGCACTTCTCTGGATGTTCTGTCTGCAAGGAATGTTCTTACCCACCAATATCCTTGTGGCTCACTCCCTCACCTCCTTTGAGCAAATACCAGACTTTCAAAGAGGACTACTCTGGTTACCCTCTTTTAACCCATACTCACGCGCGCGCACACATGCCCTCGGCACTGATGATACCCTGTGCCTTGCTCTGTTTTTTTCCTTTTTTCCATAGCACTTATTGCCTTCAAAGGTATCATATAATTTATTATGTTTATTGTTTTTCTCCTCCCACTATACTCTGACTAGGTATCTAGTAGACATCTTTGTTGTGTTCACTGTTGTGTCCCAAGCAACTAGGATGAAGACTGGCACACAGTAGATGCTCAATAAATGCTTGTCGAATGAGTGAAAGATTTTACAAAAAGATATAGAAAATGATCTGTGGGGACTTGATATTGGAGGCTGGGGAGGTCGGTGAGAAGTGTGTTTCTGTGATGATGATGATAGGTTGGATGCGAGAAGTGGCTGAGGGGAGAGAAAGGAGGACACAGGTGATAATTACTAAGGAGAGAGAATTTTCAGGACTTGGTGACCAATTATT